ATATTCAACCCATCTTTCATTAATATCCGAAGAGTGTGCAAATTTCTTGGGATCTTCAAAACACCTGCGAGCCAAATTCCCGGTATTTGTTGTCCCATGGCCTTGCAATACCTGGTCCACCCTAACTCCAAAGTTCTTAAATTTTTTTTGCGCAGCCGATTTTCTTATTTTATATTGCTCTTAAAAAATTTAAACGTTTATTTTATTTATTAATAAATTTCATTTTTATAAATGTAAAAATATTTAACCCTTATCCTGTGTTCATAAAAATAAACGTACGTGACTTTAATGGGTCAATATTGCCCAATATGTGAAAGAAAATATTTTGATTATAATTCAAGTTTATAAAGTATTTTTTATTCAACAAATATAAAATTAATTCATGAAAGTAGAAAATTAAGAATTCTTAGCTTTGGTTTAAACAACTAATGCATCTGATCGATGTCTCAGAATGAACTATGCAAATGAATTTTTTGCAGCTAACGCATTTATTGCTATATTTTGTGCTGTTGGATCGATTTGGACAAATGAAGCAACGTCCACGTTTCAAATTTGTAGGTTTTTGAATTGTTTCAGCAGTTTCTGCGGTATTTTGGTAGTTTCTTACGACGGTTTTGGCTAGACTGCTTCGCGGGAGTGTAGTTCTGCGCGATATTTCCTGAGAAAGAAGTTCATTTCCGAGCTCTGGAATATACGACGTTTAAATTTTTTTATTTTTATTCCATTCAGGGTTTATTTCTCCAAAAATTATAAAAGCATTGTATGCGCTTATATCCAGCATATTGTAAAACAAAGACTGTGGCCATCGATTTGTTCTCCGCTTGCAAGTGTATGTCCTGATAACTTGGTCTAGTGTATCAACCCCTGACTTAGTTTTATTGTAAAAGTCTATGATTTCAGGTTTTTTTGTGTTGGCATTGATTTCAACATTATTGTGAAGTGTACTGAGCAAATATACTGCTCGATTCTTTTTAGGCACATACCCAACGATGGTGGTTTTGTTGATGTTATCAAAAAAGAAGTGTGCGTAATTTTCCGGTTTCTTTTTCAACTTTGTAATTTCTGCAGGCAAGAACGTTTTGTTATTTCGGACCGTACCAACTAGGGTTATTTTACGTTTCAATAGTTCAATCCCCAACTCGTGAGATGTAAAAAAATTGTCGCATGTGACGTTGCGGCCTTGCATNGTCGTTTGGGCAATTTTGACCCATGAATACAGGATAAGTGTTAAACATAAAAATACATATACATTGTGCGTACCTTGTACAGGTTTTCGAATGTCCCACGTTTTCAGTGACATTCTATAAGAAATGTTAAGTAGGTGTTCGAACGTATTTATTTCGGCATACCATACTTCCCAGTCCATACTTCAAAGATTCACCATCAGGGGTGAAATCATTGCTTAATTGTCCAAATTGGTGAGTGGTTTTTCTACAAAATGGACATCTACTCGTTGCCGTATTTTCAATTATCGCATTCAAGCATTTACCATCAAAAAGCGTTTGCGTTACTTCGTACGAAACACAAACATTTTTTCCATTAGATAAATGAAATCTATAAGGAGCGAGTTTCTCTATTTCATCGCTTAATTGGTTGTGTTCAGCTTTGATGATATCATCTGTTTCCTTTTCAAAGGCAATCCTCAATTGTCGACAGAATCTTACACTCTGGGGAGTTGGATTGTTCCATGACTTTTCACCAGATTTATTAGAACTTATTTTGATAATAATATAACTTGTTACCAAGAGAGATCGTTCGGACGCCTCACTTTCTTTTCCAGCATCTGTACATTTTTATGACCAGAGGAACTGTCGAAACCCACAGTTATAAAAAGCCTCAAATCGACCAAATATTCGCTATTCCAATCCAAAGCCAAAGCCAAAAGTAATAGAAGTTCAATTATTAACGAATGACTTATGTTTCATGTTGACCATGTTATATTCAATTTGATTGTGTTATTATTAATTATTCTACCAGTTAAGGTTAAAACGCTGAAATTGAATTTAACTTTTTAAACAGGTGGAAACCCTTCTACATGTAGTTTAAAAATAAAACATTTTAAAAGCCATTTCGATTGACACCCATATTGTAATATGTACATAATTCATTAACCTTATTAAATAATTTGAATATAATTTTTTAACAGGTGGCACTGCCTTGCTCGCGGGCAAAGCTCTTTTAAACCTTCTATACATTTTGTATAGGCGCGAGCAGAGTAAAAGCTCTCTCTGCCCAACGCTGATGTACATACATATGCATACATGTACATACATATGTACATGTATATGCATGTGTGTGCACCAATCTATTAATATCGTTGAATTATTTTATTATCTATTGCAAAACTTTATTCAGACAAGACTAAAAAGTAGAAAATAAATAATATAAAAAAAAACATTTAATATACAACGCTTTTACAAATGAAAAAAAAGTAGAAAATAAATAATATAAAAAAAAACATTTAATATACAACGCTTTTACAAATGAAAAAAAAGTAGAAAATAAATAATATAAAAAAAAACATTTAATATACAACGCTTTTACAAATGAAAAAAAAGTAGAAAATAAATAATATAAAAAAAAACATTTAATATACAACGCTTTTACAAATGAAAAAAAAGTAGAAAATAATAATTCTCAGTCCCATAGAATTTGTTTTGATAACTTTTGATTTTGAAATTTTAGCAGAAGTCAGTATAAACAATTTATGAGATTGAAAATGAAAAGCGTGGGGCGCATGCAATACAAAGCATTAGATTTAATTGACAATAGTCAAACTACATAACATAGACCTAAAATTTCTACAGAGAAAGTACAAATTTGAGATCGATTTTAAGCGGTCGTTATTCATATATCCCAGTGATTCCCAAAGTGGTCCACGGGAGACTCGACGGTGGCCCACGGTGACATGAAAAAAATATTGGGGTCCATGAGTTGTAAATGGCGGTCCACGAAAATTTATCTGGTTTCGATGTAAAGAACCAAAATGGTTGCTTGATAGCCTCTTTATTTAACTTTAATATGTTTGAGTGGTATATAGTGCTCTTGACGCACTGCTGCACTTGCCGTCACCTTGTGTTTTCATACGTGGGGAAGCCTTAAAGGCCACATGCATACTAAAAGGAACTGGATGCTGGTATGACAGTGAGTGGGGCGCGGCGAAAATTGCTGGCGGCAGAGATGTAAGCACTTGTGTCTCTTCAATGCTACAGGATAGTACGCCACCATTATCTTTTTGAAGAGACTCTATAATGTTGAGTTCACTGAGACTGAATGCTGGTTTGATTCCATTGCTGAGACCAGACTCACACATTGTCGAATCTTCACTGATGGCTCCAAAACTGATTCTGGGTCATGATCTTCGAAGTTAATGGAGATAACCTTCACTTTTCAGTAGGGGAATATGCTTCGGTCTTCCAGGCTGAGGTAATTGCAATACTCAAAGCCATGGACTACGTGGTGGAACATAGGTGGAGAGGAAGCAGTTTACGTGATTGCAGTGACAACCAAGCTGCACTTAAGGCATTGGGCAGCCCTCTATTTAAGTATTTCCAAACTAGTTCGGCAATGCAAGTCTCGACTAAAATATGATGGTGAACATAACGAGGTTGTTTTACTCTGGGTGCCATGTCACTCAGGAGTACCTGATTATGAGACATCTGATCATTCGGCCAGATTTGGCTCAGACCAGGCACTCCTCGGTCCGCAACCAGTTTTAGCACTCCCACCTTCGGCAATCGAAGCCACCATCAGAACCTGGGTGAATACTTCGCTCAGCAAGGACTGAGAGGCATCAAGGGGATGCAGGTGGGCAAAACTTATGGTGCCTTCAATCTCACTAGGTCTATCTAATTTTTTGCTCTCACTGAGCAGACGACACTGCAGACAACTTGCTGGACTGCTGACTGGTCACTTCACGTGGCACAAACACCCGACTGTGATAGGCCTAAATGACAAATCCATTTGCCCATCTTGTCTTGAAGAAGATGAGACGGTGGAACACTTTTTGTGCTTATTGCTTGCTTGGTTATTTGTCATCGATTTTTTTAAACTCGTTCTTTTCTCTATTGTCAGTTTCTGAATTAAAAGTTTGGCGTAAAAAGTTTAGCCGTTTTGATGTTTTAAGTTTTGTGTTTTAAAAATGTGATAAATATTTTTCGCCTCACTTTAAAACTCGGAGCGATAAAAATAAAAATGATGGCATTAATACAAATAAACTATTTTACATATACTCCACGTGCAAAGTCATAAGTGAGCCGAACATTTGATGAGTTTATGGTGAAGATAATGTAAATAACGCTAGCGCCCGCAGTGCTCTTAAAAAATATAACTCCTCCGAGCGAGAGAGTATTTTGATGTATTTACGAGCTCTATTTTTTAAAACCTACAAGTGTGTAATCACACACTGCGGGCGCTAGCGTTATTTACATTATCTTCACCATAAACATTATTATTATAATAATAATAAATATTATTATTATTATTATAAATAGAACATAAGAAAATATTTTACTTTTATTTTGGCCACTCTGAGTTTAGTTTTTGAATTCACCCGCGATGCAAATTTACATTGTTAGATCTAATTTTCACATTTCATTTTTTTACGAGCTTTGGAAATATTTAGAAATGTATCAGCAGGGGGTCCACCGAAACCAGTAAATTTTTGAAAGGGGTCTACGAGAAAAAAAAACAGTTTGGAAACCTCTGATATATCCACATACATACATATAATACCCTTCATATCAATTCTGGTCTATTACATGCGCCCCACGCTTTTCATTTTCAAAAGTTATCAAAACAAATTCTAAGGGACTGAGAATTATTATTTTCTACTTTTTAGTCCATTTATAAAAGCGTTGTATATTTAAAAAGTTTTTTTTTATATTATTTATTTATATTATTTTTTTAGATTTTTTTTGTGCTGCGTTTTTCTTCACATAAAAAAATTGTGTTTATTCGTTATATGGAAGCGAATGCGACAAAAAAATCAACGGTAATTTTTAGCCACTGGAAACTTGCATATTGTTATACTGACGGTAGCAATTAATATCGGGTGTGTAGCACTGACCCTGAATTTCAAAATATGTAAATATTTTAAGAAATTTTAAGAGAGCACTTAAAAGGGGAAAATTATAAGTAAAATGGTAAATGGGGTACGAAAAATTTAGATACTTAGGTTGGGAAAATAAGCGGGGAGGTACTTAAGAGAGGGTTTTTCTTCAGATTACATGAAAAGATTCACGGTGCCCAAAAATGTTGGTTACTTAAGCGGGTTAGGTACTGCGGGTTTCACTGTATTAAATACAAATGTACTCCAGTATGCCCATCATTGGATACATATGTACATACATTGTACATATGTATATTAGGGAAGAGCACCATTTCCAAAAAATCGGTTTTTTGATTAATCATGGTTTTTTATTAAGGTTTTAATCCGTTTAAATAAACTGGATTAAAGACCTGGGCATGTATCACGTATGACGATAATCGTCTTAACGATTGTCTTACTTCATGAAAACCAAAAATTTTTTGATCATTTGTGTGGTATCGTCAACTGGATTCCAATTTTGCTTCACGTAACTGTTTGAAAAACCACGTAGTATTACTTTAACGTGCTTTCTTGCACGATAGTGAGTTCAGTATCGTTTAAAAGAAAAACAGGTACATATGTATTTTATATTTATTATTTTTATTACGATAGTGAGTTTAGTATCGTTTAAAAGAAAAACAGGTACATATTTACATATGTATTTTGTATTTATTATTTTTTTAAGACTGGTATTTACAATATTGCTTTAATCCTTTATTCTTCCAAGGAAACACATATCGCTAGCTTAAGTGAAAAGTTGCTAAGCCCACTTTTTATTAAAACTAATATGTTAATATAGAAAGCAAGGAACATTAAAATGCATCGTTTCGAAAAGGATTGAGGTTCTTGTTTTATTTTTTTCTGGTTTATATTCAATGAAAGGCAAATTTGCTAAGTCCAAAAGAGGCACCGAAAATGCGGCCAAACCAAAATAATACATCTTTCAATAAACATCGAGCCCTTCTTATTCGTATAGAGTGTGGGTTTACTTCAAACACGCACAATGGTGTATTCAAAGATTTGCGAAGTACTTGAAGAAAACGGCTATAAGAAGTTTTTTGCTCTCCTGTAAAATAAAAAAAATGGACTTAGCAACTTTGCACTCTCAGCTAGCGATATGCAAAACGATTTTTTATATTATTTCTGATAGTTATTACAACCAATTTGTTTGCCAGATTTTTTACTCGCTACTAGGTCCCTAAACTTAAATTCCGGCAGTATTAATATACATACATATCGTCGATGTTTTTGCAAAACCGCCCATCGACCAATTGCAAAAGCGCCTAAATCTCCGTTGTGACAAAAATCAGATTTGATAACCCTGTAAAATTTGAGTGCCGTAAGATAGGTGGTTTTGCAATGGGTCGATGGGCGGTTTTGCAAAATCATCGACGATATGCCCTCCTTTGGATTGCTTAGCGGAGGTGCCTATGAGTGGTTGACTGAAAACTGCACTTGCATTTCCGAACGGAACTAATTATTCATAATTTTAATATTCCAATTAACCACAAACATAAAATCAGAGACCACGTCAGCTGACCCGACCTATGTTATCAAATTTTTGTGTTAACGAAAACTCACCATCGCAGGACTCACGGTCCTACGTCGTTGTTACATGTATAGAGATTCTCTATCTCTCTATTGACAGCAATTTGATATGTTGATATCAGTGTAACCAGGTTAGTCTCTTTGAGGCTAGATTTAGCATTTCGGTTTATGCCATAGCCTCAAAAATTTAGTGGCTTTTTTCTGGCGTTTTTTTACTTTAAATATTCACAATAAAATTCGAACCGGAACTATAAAAATAAGTACCTTAGCTTACTAAAAAACTTTAATATTTACAAAACTACTATTTACCATTAAAATCAGAGACCCAAAATAATTATTATCCTAATATTAGAGATCAAAAACGTCGCCTTGTTTTAAGCGAAATTCTCTTCGTCTTTGTATAAAAATTATTTATGAGAAATATCTTTTTCCGTCTGGTGGGATGATTATTTTCAGATGAAAACTATTTACGTATTTTCATAATAATTATATGGGATTTTTATTTTTCTCGTCTCGGGACGTTTATTTAAAGACCGATATTATTTACATCTTCTCATAATAATTATGTGGGACTTTTATTTTTTTTTGATCTCGCGGGACATTTATTTCAAAACGGAAAGGATTTACGTCTTGTCATAATAATTATGTGGGACTGTTATTTGTTTTCGTCTCGTGGGACGTTTATTTTAAGACGGAAATGATTTACGTCTTTTCATAATAATTATATGCGACTTTTATTTTTCTCGTCTCTCGTGGCATTTATTTCAAGACGACAATGAGAAGACGTAAATCATTTTCGTCTTGAAATAAGCGTCCCGAGAGACGAAAAAATATAAAAAACCCATATAATTATTATGAGAACACGTAAATAATTTCCGTATTGGAATAAACGTCTCGCGAGACGAAAAAAAGTAAAAGTCCCATATAATTATTATGAGATGACGAAAATAATTTAAATTTTAAAATAATCGTCCCGCTAGACGAAAAAAAACTTTTCCATTGTTCAGTAATAATTATAGAGCAATATTTAATTTTATTTCTTATAATCGTTGTGGTCTCTGATTACACTTGCACTTGCACAATAAACGTGCAAAGTACCATCTTTTTGAGAAATTAGCTTTTTAGAAAATAATAATAAGAAATTTGCTTTAAACCGCATTTTTATAATTTGATTTTTTGGCGTACTACTTGTGTACTCTTATGTAGAAAATATTACAGTTTTCTTATCCTAAACTACAAATAATAATAAGAAATTTGCTTTAAACCGCATTTTTATAATTTGATTTTTTAGCGTACTACTTGTGTACTCTTATGTAGAAAATATTACATTTTTCTTATCCTAAACTGAACTTCTTTTTGCTCATATTGGAGGTATGTAGCCGGTATTTGGCCTGATAGATGCAATTTTGTGTTTTGAAGAGAATGATTTAAAAAGTTATTTACAGAAAATCGGTTTTGGGAAACTTATCGATTTTTTAAGGAATGAATATACTGACTTCTTTTTAACTTAAATTTTTATAGCGTATAACTTTGTCTAACCTTTTTTAAAAACGAATTTAGCTTCACTTTTTGTGATCATCTAATCACACTGGTTGATATGTACGGAAGGGCGCTCCGTCGGTGGATAGTTGAACTATAAGATTAATTTGAATATGAAAGTAAATGTTTGTATTTTTATAATCTTCTATCTTTATCTTTTTTACTTTCTTTTACAATCTTTATCCCTTACAATCTTTTTATCTTTATACTTTGCAAATAAATTAAACGACTCTTATTTTATCTCCAATCTTTCTCGCTGTATCCTTTTACTAAGCGCCCGTTATTGTAAAGAGAATATCAATTATGTTTTCTTTACATTTCTTAGACTCCACATCTTCCAGTTGAAGCAGAATTTATGGAAATTAAAAAAAATAAATAGGCACAAATATTTCGAAAACCGCTTGACCGATCTTTGCTTAGCTACCTTATCGCAATTAAGTATAAGAATAAAGCAAAAACTCGCTGTGAATTAAAAAAAGTAAAATAAAAAAATCCCTGTCACGATGAATTGAACCCGAGACCAACAAGGTGCTAGTCGAAAACGCATCCATTCAACTACAGTAGCTATTGACATAGCAGGGAAAATATGAATTCTTGAAATTATTTTCAAAATTTTTGTTTTTATCTAATTTTAAATATTAAAGATTCACAAAAATATAATGATTTTCAAACTGTTGACGACATTACGATAGTCCACCCGATAGTAAGCAACACAAATACATGAATCAGTGTTTTGACGACATCGTTTTGTCAGTATCGTTTGAACGACTATCGATTCAAAGTTACGCGATATATGCTCTGATCTTTTCGGTTTACCAAAAAAGAACTGAATCATACTAAAAACACTGTGATTAGCTGAGGAAGAGCGGGAGACCAGGTTTAGAATTGTGGTCGAGTTAGAGTAGTAGAGGAGGTAGGGATTACCTTTGCGAGTGGTTATGTATCGAGCTCAATGAGCCCGTATGGTTTATAGGTGCACATCAACTCAGCCAAGCACTTCATATGCCTGATATGCGAGAGAGAGAGAGAGAGAGAGCTATGCGGGCAGGCTGATGAAGCGGTAGCGCAAGATGTGACCCTTTTACCATGTATCAATTCGGGGACTCCATTGGAGAAGTCTTGCTCTAGCTGCCGTAGGCTACTGTGCAATGAGCTGGGATTTATTCAGGGATGCAATCATGCAGAGCCCCAGTGTCGTTTGTAAGCCGGAGCTTACAACCATGCCAAAAGTACTCTGGGAGTGGAGTGAGAGTGATGCTTAAAGCACCGTGTGACGGCCAAGCTGGGTTAGCGTTGACCATAGCTGAAAATGCCAGCGACTTATCACTTCACTAAGTTCAGCGAAGAGATATTTGAGAATTGCATAAAAAATGCATACCCGATTAAGAACGATCGAATTACTTTTAAAGACGAGCGCGTGTGTTTGTTCGTTGCACTTGGTTTTGGGCGGGAGTGCAATACAAGTGCGTGTGTGTGTTCGCTGCACTTGGTTTATGCGGTAAATGCATAAGTCGCTTAAACACACTGCAAAAAAAAAAACAAAAAGCATTTACAACATATCGAATTAAACTAAATTTTCATTTACACTTATTACTTGCAACTCAAATCAATTAAAACAATATTGTTGCTTTATTTTATATAACATCTTCATTTCCAAAAATAAGAAATATAATACAGCGTTGGACATATTTATACAAAAACCAAGTTCATTTCACAAACAAAAACTTTTATAATTTATGGATAAAATATGGTACCTAATATATTATAGACTTCAAAATTGAATGTACGGTGATTTTTTTCAATATTTCCCATGTTTGTCATGGAAAATATTTTTTGTTAATTTTTGTTAAAATTTGGCTCATGTTTTAACAAACGACAAACAAAACCAAGTTTCAAACTTAGTACAAAATCTCAATATTCACAATCGACTTCACAATCTACTATGCTTAGCTACCAGATCGGTAAACAAATGTAGTAGTAAATTTGAAGTTTTTGGTGCGCCGTAAAATTTTATTCTTATCTTGAAGATTTACAAAATAATTATCCTTTGCTGGGGACTGCAAAAACCGAATTTTCGATTTTCGGTTAAAAAAAAAACGATTAACACCTAAATTAAAAAAAAAATACTGAAAAACATCTTAATCAAATATAAAAAACCGGTTTTTAGAAACACCGATCTTATTTGAACATCCCTAATGTGTATCGTCACTAGACACGAATAAAGGCGCGCGTTTTTTTTCTGTTTTAAGAAGTTTGTTTTGCCTATTTTATTACAAAAAAAAATATTTTTTTTAATTATTCTTTGTTTATGCAAAACGCAGTTCAGGTGAAACGTGTTCTAACTATTTTTTATATAGAACACAAATCAGAGGAGATGCAAATTGGGGTTCAACTGCTTTTTTAATAATTGAATATTTTGATTAGTCTCAAAACAAAACCTGTATTGCATAAACTATAATATAATATAATAAAACATAATATTTAAAAAAAAAAGAAAATAATTTTACCGAAAGAAGAGGAAAAAAATTTTCAAGTCGAGAGGCGCGGATTAGGGTTTGATTTTAGACCAATGGTTTCTTCAGAGAATTTTCTAAGAATTTAATGTAGATTACGTTTTTGCTATACGATTTTTAATTTTTTTTTTCATCCATACAAATCAACCCGCCCTAATCCACATACATACATATATTACCCTTCATATCAATTCTGGTCTATTACATGCGCACCACGCTTTTCACTTTCAATCTCATAAATTGTTTATAATGACTTCTGCTAAAATTTCAAAATCAAAAGTCATCAAAACAAATTCTATGGGACTGAGAATTATTATTTTCTACTTTTTAGTCCATTTATAAAAGCGTTGGATATTAACAAATTTTTTCTTATATTATTTATTTTTCACTTTTTAGTCTTGTCTGTATAAAATTTTGCAATAGATATTAAAATAATTCAACGATATTAATAGATTGGTGCACACACATGCATATACATACATACGAGCACCAATTAATTTCATTTAAAGAACGACGACACCCCGTCCATTTCCGCTGTAGCGTACGTAGTGCATAGGACGACATCTACCTCTTGAACCATCGAGGTTGATATCTAGACTTAATAGGAACTTTGCAAAGCAAAGCTTTTATAGCTGTCTATAGTTGATAAACGAGTTGTACAAAATTTGAGATCGGTTTTAAGCGATCGTTATTCATATACCTACACACATATGTATGTACATACATATATTACTTTTCATATCAATTCAAGCCTATTACATGCGCCCATATATGTAATACTTCTATATTGGCAGTATGCTAACTTCCAAATGTGTAAGCATTCCGAAATCAAAGCGAGACAGTCTAGNTAGTTGATAAACGAGTTGTACAAAATTTGAGATCGGTTTTAAGCGATCGTTATTCATATACCTACACACATATGTATGTACATACATATATTACTTTTCATATCAATTCAAGCCTATTACATGCGCCCATATATGTAATACTTCTATATTGGCAGTATGCTAACTTCCAAATGTGTAAGCATTCCGAAATCAAAGCGAGACAGTCTAGTACGGTTTTTGTGTATGTATTAGGGATGTTTCGAATGCCATATTTTTCACATTCGCGAATGCGAATGTTAAGTCATCGTTTTTATACCCGAGCGCACTTGTGCACAAGGGTATTATAACTTTTTATTACTTAAAAATTGTGTAAATTATTAGAACATTGACCGAGTGCTTAACTTATACAGTGTTTTAATCTTGTAGTCAAAGTTCAAAATGGGCATATTATATTTCAAAAAAAGTAATTTTGCTGCCTTTTCTCCCATGAGGCGATTTCTTAGAGGCTCGTTTATAGGCCGACTGCACTAAAAAATTGCTCACGTGGAACGGCGGGTGAAGAGCTCATATATTTGCGGCCCAAAACTGTCAATTTGTCGTATTTTTGTTTAGTTTTCCACCAATCGACAGGATTTTCACCGAGATTAGCTCGTTTTTCTTTAAGATAGACCTACAATTGAGCTTTTATTTCAATTTATTTAATGTCTCCAGATTTTACATCCGAGCCTTTGCTTTCGCTGGAGGAATCTAAAATTATTTGTAGGTTGCTTATACGACTTAGAGCAGTACTTGTTAAAGGCCCATCAATGTTGCTTGATATACTACTTAACCGTTTAGCGCCTGAAGCTAAAAGCCGGTTATTGCCCGCACCCTGGTTAGACAGACTTAGGGCCAATTTCACAGTGCGTAGTTAAGTCCGAATCGACAGTTAACTAGAGATTTTCAGTACAAAAATCTGTAGTTAACTCCCGATTCCGAGTTAACTACGCATTGTGAAATTGGCCCTTAGAGCCATTTCAACAACATTAGTGTGGACACTCTGCCTATGTACACATTCGCAAAACATTCGTATCATTTGATGCGAATGTGTAAAATGATGCAAATCATTCGCAGAACGAATGCGAATGCAAATATTCGCAGCATCCGTGGTATGTATTGTGTACGTGAGTGCCGTTTTTGAGTATGTGTTTTGTATATTTTTTTTTTTTTTTTTTTAGAGGTGGCACAAAGCATTGAAAGCCGAAAAGTGTGGGACTTGCCTTTCAGCTCACCGCACTAAAAACCCACCCCTGCTCCGTTTCCCTCCCACCGTGGAACTACCGTAAGGTATTACTTCGCGGAGGGGAGCGGCCTATTGCCAATCTATGAAATTCTGCGGAGTTGTTCCGCTCGACGCAATTTAGATGAAATTGTGTTTGCCAAATTGCAAACAACGGACCAGTTAGTATCTTCTGACTCAAGCATAGTATCCACAAGGTTATGAACCGTAAGTGGCCTCCCCACCTTCCTGCTCGAGTCATCCCTTTCGACTGCAAACCTCGGACAGACGAAAAAGCAGTGTTCAGCGTCTTCAATAATATCCTTTGCACAGAAGGTGCAGAAGGGATCGTCTTCGTGCTTAAATCGGTATAAATATGATTTAAAGCACCCATGCCCTGTCAATATTTGGGTCAAATGGAAGTCCACTTCCCCATGTTCCCTACTTACCCACCTTGATATCGAGGGTATGAGGCGGTGCGTCCAACGACCGCTGGCTGCGCGGTCCCACCTCGTTTGCCATTGCTGCAAGCACCTCTGTGTCACCTCTTCGCGTCTCGTTCGGTTTATAGGCCTGGGGCCTGTCACTTCCACTAGAATGTCAATGGGGCAGAGTCCTGCCACCACTAGCGCTGCTTCTTCGGACGTAGTTCGGAATGCACTGCATACTTTGATAGCGCAAAATCTGTGCAAAGACCTTGCTTCTCGTACATATGACGTCTTGCTGAACGCTTCATACCAGATTTGTGCACCATAGAGCAGCACACTGCGCACGACGCTTGCGTATAGCTGCCTACGCTGTTGTTTCGGGCCTCCTACGTTCAGCATAACCCTTGTTAGTGCCCCTGCCACCTTTTCGGCTTTCTCGACAGCATAATCAATGTGCGTCTTGAAGGTAAGCCTCGCATCAAACATTATGCCTAGGTATTTTAGGGCCGCCTTTGACGTAATTTCTTGTTGACCAACCTTTATAGTCGCCACTTCTCTGACTTTTCTACTGCTTACTAGAACTGTCTCGGTTTTTTGGTGCGCAAGTTCCAGTCCTGTTTCGGCCAGCCATGCTTGGATCTGGACGATTGAACTATTTGCTGCGGTAATTATTTCTTCTAGATGCTTCGCTACCACCACTAGCGCTATGTCGTCAGCAAATCCGACAATTTTCACTCGTTCTGGCAAGGATAGTCGGAGTACACCATCGTACATGATATTCCAGAGTATTGGACCCAGAACCGAACCCTGTGGTACTCCAGCCGAGACTTTATATTCTTTGACACCGTTCTCCGTATTGTACAGTAGCACTCTATTTGCTAGGTAGTTGTCTACAATCTTGCGAAGGTATGCGGGTACCTCGAATCTGCGTAGAGCAGCGTTTATGTGTTTCCAACTTGCTGTGTTGAACGCATTTTTTACATCGAGGGTGACAAGCAAGCAGTACTCCTTTGCTCCTCCCTTCCACCTTTCGCCACTGATTGCATCTTCCGCCAACTGCTTTACTAAACTGGCTGCATCTACCGTTGACCGCCCCTTTCTGAAGCCGAACTGTGTCTCTGAGAGGCCTCCCTTTTCCTCGATTGCTTCTAGCAGTCTATCGCTGATTATGCGTTCGAACAACTTGCCCGTCGTATCCAACATGCATATAGGACGATATGCTGAGGGATCTTCTGGTGGCTTCCCAGTTTTCGGCAATAGAACTAGCCGCTGGCGCTTCCATGCATCTGGAAATACTCCTTCTTTAAAGCATTCGTTAAAACTATCGACGAACACTTTAGGGTTCGCAGCTACAGCAAGCTTGAGGACACGATTTGGAATTGCATCCGGCCCCGGTGATTTTTTATCTTTAAATCGCTTGGCCGCAAGAAGTACTTCTTCCGTGCTCACCATGGGAAACTCGAACATCGTAGCAGGAAAGATTTCTCTCGCAAAACTTGGTTGCATTGGGAATAACGCCTTTATTATCGTCTCCAGCTTATTTGGGCATAATACCTGTGGTCGAACCGACGCCTTCAGCCTTTTCGTCACAACTTTATATGCTAAGCCCCAGGGGTCATTTTGGACGCTTTCACACAAGCTAGTAAAGCACTTTCGCTTGCTGAGCTTAATGGCTTGTTTAAGCTCCTTGCGTTTAGCTCTGTATATAGCATGTTCGCCGGTAAAGCTTTCAGACCTTCTGGCACGCTGGTAGTTTCTTCTCGCTCTGTTGCATTGCAGTCGCAAGTCCGCTATTTGCTCATTCCACCAATAAACTGGTGCACGTCGGCTGGTCGGGTATTTTTTCTTCATCGAAGCGTCGCACGCTTGAGTGATTTTGGCCATGAGGTAGTTCGTCATGTTACTAGCTCCGTAGGGTAACGAAATTCCAGACATCATGGCTACTAGCGCCTCTTCGTCTAGAGAGTTGACCTTCCAACCTGTTGTTGCTCTTGCACTGACTTTTCTGCTCTCTCTCTCCTCCTGTATCGAGAAAATGATAGCCATGTGGTCGCTATGAGTGTACTCGTCGCTAACCTCCCAAGACGTGTGTCGAAACAGCCTGCTGCTGATAAATGTGAGGTCAATAATGGACCCCACCCCATCCTTGCTGAATGTAAATTTGGTACCCGAGTTGCATAATGCCACATCCAGAGACGATAGTGCTGCAAGAAGAGCTCTTCCTCTGGCGTTAGTTCGTCGGCTTCCCCATTGCAAGGCCCAAGCATTGAAGTCGCCGGCTATTAATACGGGTGCTCTAGTCCGGGCATCAAAGGTAAGCTTATCCATGACGGCTTCGAATTCATCGAGGGTAAAACTAGGCGGTATGTAGCAGCTATATACAGTTAATCACGAGACTCGAACACATACAAAACCTACGTCTGCCTTGAGTTGTTCCATATGAAGGGGCGTTATGGCGCAGCTCCACACCGCTGCTCGACCGGCATCGTCCTGGGCCCATAGCTGACAATCCCCCACCTTGTATGGTTCACTTAGTAGCGCTATGTCAACATTGTGGTCAATCACCGTCTGCTCCAATAGCTCCTGTGCAGCTTTGCAGTGGTTCAGGTTGAGCTGCAAGACCTTCATGATGTCCGGGATTTTTGTATCGCCTCTATATAGTACGGGCAGTCTTTTCCGCCTGTCCTCTGCTTTACGTCTGGCTTTTTGTTTCTGGAGCAGATTACGCACCGTTTCTCCTTCTTACATACGTTGGCTTTATGGCCTATATCACCGCAATTGAAGCACGCCCCTTTCGAATCGTGACTGCTTTTACAGTTTCTTGCCAGGCGGCCAAACTCTAAACATTTGAAACATTGCGTCGGGTTCATTTTTAGTCTTATTCGACAGATTACCTACCCTACCCGAACTTTGCCCACTGCGATCAATTTGCTCGCCATGGCGGCTGGCAGCAGCAGGGTTGCTGTCTTCGTACCGCTGTACGCGCTTCTTAATGACTTGACGGCTTCTACGCTTTGTATATGTTTATTTATAAACGTATGATTTCCTTTTCTTTTGTACGGTTTTATTGATATATCGTACTGTAATGTTTTCGGACGGTACTAGCTCTTACTGCCAATATAGGAGTATTACATATATGCATGCGTCCCACGCTTTTCATATTGAATCTCATAAATTGTTTATAATCACTTTCGTTAAAATTTCAAAGTTAAAAGTTTATTTTATCTCATTTATTTTCTACTTATTAGTCTTGTCTGTATAAAGGTTTGCAATCGATATTAAAATGATTCAACGATATTAATAGATTGATGCACATACATGCATACGCATATGTATGTGCATACATATGAGCACCAATGAGTTTCATTTAAAGCACTGATAGGCACTGCCTTGCCCGCGAGCAAAGCTCTTTTAAGCTTTCTATACATTTTGTATAGGCGCGAGCAGAGTAAAAGCTCTCTCTGCCCAACGCTGATTTAAAGAAATGGCGTGTAGTCGATTTCCGCTGTAGCGTACGTAGTGCATAGGGCGACATCTACCTCTCAAACATAGAGGCAGATGTCGCCCTATGCACTAGACTTTTTTATAGGAACTTTGCCAAGCTAAAATGGTGTCTGGACACACAACATTAATAATAATAATAATAATAGATTGGCGCCTACACATATGTTAGTGTTTGGCCGAGCTTCTCCTTCGACTTGTGGCGTGCGCCTTGATGTTGTCACACAAAGCGGAGGGACCTACAGTTTTACGCAGACCCCGAACGGCGATTGTATCTTTATGAGAAGCTGTTTTTCATGGCAGAAAAACACTCGAAGGTTTGCCATTGCCTGCCAAGGGACGACCGTTGTTAAGAAAGACACACAATATTGCAAGTTGATAAAAGCGTTGAATAAAAATGGGGGTTTCAGGAACTATAGGATCAACTATTTTCATGATGTAGTTGATCCTACCTACAACCTATGTACATTAAGTTTTGTTTCGTGTATATTTCCTGATTTTTTTGTAGCACCGTGTTATTGGTCTCGAGTATTTAAGACGTTTGCAAGCAATTTGATTTTGAAGTTAAACTCACACACACATTTCTTTTCCAATCTCAACGAAATATAATTACGAAAGTAAGAAAATATCAAATTTTTAATCTAGTTCGTGCAACGTGCATGACACATGCACACGGCATGGAAACGATCTTGTTTCATTTCCATACCAATTTTCCGCCTATAAGTTTATAATTTCAAACGTTTCGTTTTTATAGGAAGACTAGCAGACCCGGCGAACTTCATCCCACCCAAAATAAATTTTTTTATTGAAACATTTGGTCCAACGTTTTCGCCAGCAATTTACGTTCACGTTCAAAGCGTTATGCCGGGAAGAAGTCGTTGCGGCTCGATAGTGAATCGTTCTTGAATCTGTATAGTATAGTTGGTGGCAATTTCTAAACTGGTGAGTATCATTAGTCCACATTCTGTTTAGTCAACGTAAAGCAAGGACCGCAATGGTTCTGATGGTTGAATTACGGGAGTAAAGTGACTTTGGTGCCTCCGAATCGACGATTTTTAGCTATAACTCGGCTCCAGCACCACCAAAAATCATCATTAAAATAGTTTAGGGGGAGTTAAGCCACTAGAATAAGTCTTTTACATACTGACACTCTTCGGCGTTTTTTCCCATACAAAAAACTATCACGCATTCGTTATACGGAGAAGCAACATCGTCAGCGAAAAAAATTCCCTGAAATCAACGGTAACGGGTGAACTACAAAACTGTATTCTAGGTGTATATATACAGATAGGTAAAATTTTCAAAATGTTTTCCACGTCCCTTTTCCAGTAGCCCCAAAATCTCTATACCAATTTCCAGGACACTACAGCAAATACTTCCAGAGATATACGGTATGAAAAATTCGATATGTATGGGTGATGCCACGCTCCCTTAATATATCGAAAGTCTGCAGTAGGTGTCCAAAATTTAAAACAATCGGTACAGGCGTTCGCGAGATCACCTCTTATAAAAAGAAGGAGCTTCTCTTTATATAATTAGTGTAGGTAACACAGAGCAACACCGATTTTGATGCGGCAAATGTTGAAGCTGTTTTTGATAGGCTTTTTTGTGCTGATTATGAATCCGAAACTATAAAGTTTTCATCAGCTCCAGATTTGAGAAAATTGTGGTGAAAGTGTCCAAAATTGCGCTTTTTGAAATATTTGAGAAGTTTTAGTAATGAAGCAAAATGTGATAGAACCCTCCACTTACACTTAAATTAAAGCTAGAACTACAGAATACTATCCTTGAAAGTACTATTCCTGCACCTTGCCCTGATGGTCACCTATACTCATTTCTTTTTACCGTCCAACAATAAAAAAAATACTGGAAAATTATGCAATTCAAAAAAAAAGGTGTAAAAATCAGTGTTAGCTGTTCAATAAATAACTATAGGTGACCTTAGGGTCAAGGTGTAAAAATGGTATTTTCAGGGATTGAAGTCAGAAGTCCAACACTTAATTTAAGCCTAAGTGGAAGGTCCTATCACCTTTTGCTTAATTGCGGTAGGTACTCAAACTTCCCAAAATTAGTTATTCCTGTTCAACAAATGACTATAAGTGACCATCAAGCAAAAGTGCAGGAATTTGCAAGGATAGTATTCGAGAGTTCTAAGTGAAGGGTTATATTGCTTTTTGTTTCTTTGCTAGAGCTTCTCAAATATTGAAAAAAACGCGATTTTTTGACACTTTGACCTCGTTTTTCTTAAAATCTGGAGCTGATGAAAACCTTATGCTTACGGATTCGTAAACAGTACACAAAAATTGGGCAAAAATAGCACTAACATTTGTTGCATCAAATTTTTTCCCATTTTTGTTGGCCTGTGTAATAAGTATTGTTAAATAGCCAATACCCGCATGTTTGCACCGACTTCAAACACCTTTCGAACTGTAAAACAATGACACGATTCTATTCTAAGCATATCTATAATACGGGTATCGAATTTCAAGCAAATCAGACCATAAATTAGATTTTTATGAAAAGTTCGGTATCTGGTCCACCTATCACAAAAAATATCTTATATGTTAACCCAGCCAAGAAGCTACCTGCGTGACAAATTTCAAGCAAATCGGACCATAAATAAGACTTTTTCGAATAGATCGGTCCTTGGCCCACTTAACGGAAAAAATAGATCCTATATCCTAATGTAGGCAAAAGGCTACCAATGTACCAAATATATATTTTTTAACGTAGCGCGACCCCTGCGCCACCTATCGGAAAAATTTAAACTCTGTGCACTCCTTCTTCTAAACACCTTTCCAAAAAAGCAGCACCCATTCGAATCGGTTATGAAACATAGGAGAAAATTGTTCCCAATTGATTCATGCTCCCAATGAATTCACAAATTTTCCACGTTTTCGTCGAAAAAAATTAAAATTTTTTGCGTTCTTCCGGATTTTTCCGAGTTTTCCACTTGGAATTTTCTATTTTTCCATTCGAATGCCATTCCGAAGGAATTCCACACAAAATTCCATACAAAAAAATCAATTTTCGATTTTTCCAATTTTCCGACTTTCTCGGAGGGTTTTCCCAAAAAAACCTTCTCCTGGCAATTACGAATAACTAAAAAAAATGTTTGCCAAATCGGCCCAACCGTTCTCAATTGATGAATTACTATACATCTTTCACACCATTTTTATATATATAGATAACACAAGATAAAAGGTGTGCTCTTATAAAATTTCAAGTCAACAGTTTATATGGATTTGGTTTTATAAGGTTTTGAGTTTTATGTTTGGCGAAAGAAAATAAAAATCAGGTGTCAATCATTATTCTTGTGCAGAAAAAATAAAAATGGCAAGATAATTATTTTACCTGAGCGAAAAAATTAAAATCAAAAGTGATCCTTATGCTCAAGC